AGGATTTCCTGCTGGTTGTGTGAAAGCTGGAAGCTTCTAGAAAACGTTCGGGACACCTTCCACACTCACCCTGGTGAGCATGAACTTAGCTAACGCATGGGAAGCATTTAGAAAAGTGCCTGACGTGCAGAAATCACATGATACATTTTATTCGTTATTATCCTCACAATAATCGCACGGGGCAAGCTTCATTATTTTCCCTATTTTATAGCGGAGGAGACGGAGACTCAGATGCACAGTAAGTTGAGGTCACACAGATTAAAACCCAAGTTTGTGAGACTTCAAAGCCTTGTATAGATGCAGAGAGGCAGGTCTGAGGACTTTCATTTGTGTGTGTGTGTGTGTGTCTGTGTTTTCAGTAGCTTAAAATTGGAAACAGTATAGATTTCCATCAACGGAAACCATTCAGTAAAGGCCATTCAGAAAGGGCTTTGTGGTGGTTACAAGAAATAAGGTCACCCTATACACAGGGACACGGAACCATCCCCAAGACATTTTGTTCAGTAAAAAGAACATCTGAAAAAAAAAGTTCTATAACCCACAGGAAACAAAGCCAACTATTCCGTAAGACCTAGGTGTGTGTGTGTGTGTGTGTGTGTGTGTGTGTGTGAGTGATCTTTGGAATATGAAGCAAATGAAGGTGATTTTAAACAATAGGATCTATTTATAGGAGCCTTCCTTTCTTTAGGCTTTATTGAGCTTTAAAATAACATGCTTGGAGAGCACAGCGAAGTGTCAAGAAGAAAAAAAGAAAACCACAGATATCCTTCTGTCTGGATTCACTGGGCTAACGTTTTTATATATATCATTCCAGTCCCCTTCCAGTGTGATCGTATGTGTGTGAGTGTGTGTGTGCACCTCTATATATACATATAGAGGAATGCACATTTAAGGATATGAGAATTCTGCTGTTAAACCACATAGAAGCTTATTTCTCTGTCACATTAAATCTGGGTCCCAGTAGGAATGGTGGCTCACAAGTCATGATTTCAGGCTCTTACTATGTTTTATTATTCTTGACCTCTGGCTTCCTCCTCATAGTCTAAGACAGTTGCTCCAGCTCCAGCCATCACATCTGCATTCCCACCAGCATGAAAGGGTAAATGGGAAGTGGAGGTCCTGCTTCTGCCTTTTAAGTACACAACCGGGAAGTCCTACACATTATTCTTGGCAATGTTTGTCTGAATGTAAACACATGGCCGTTGATAGCCACAAGGAATCCCGGAAATGTGTTCTTTACTCTGGGCTCCCATGTGCCAGCTAAACGTCAGGGGCTCTGTGACTATAAAGAAACAGGAAAGTGGACTTTATAGCAACTAGCAGGGCTTCATTCTCTCAATAATAATATCTTTCCTCAGCAAAAGAGAAAGTTCTGTATCTTATCTTTCATTCTAACCATTGAACCCTGTGAGAGAACAAACCCTCCTTCCCCCAGGCCAAACTACAAGTTGTAATAGAGCAACTTTCTTAAGGCACACCCAGGAGCCAGCTGCTCCCAGCAATTTCCAAATGAAAGGCATTTCGTTTGCCAGGGCACTTCCCCCAGATTTGACCTTTGATAAATATATTGAGAGAATCAGAAAAGGCCATCCCATTGCAAAACCAGAATTGCAAGACAGGGTGTGTGACAGACCTTCTCTGGTGAGCGAGTTTCAGCCCCTCTACTAGTCATTCTTAAAGTGATACATTAGACTGTGTGCGTGTAAATCACACCCTGCTGCAAAAGCACTCATTTCTCATTCCTTCTTTTCACTTCCAGAGGAGTTTGAGTGTGTGTGTGTTATGGACTGGAGACCATAGGACTGGATTGAAGTTTTCTATTTATCTCTTTCTTTCTTTAAATTTATTCATTTTAGAGAGAGGAAGGGGGGGGGGAGAGGGAGAGAGGAACATCGATTTGTTGTTCCACTTATTTATGCATTCATCGGTTGATTTTTGCATGTGCCCTGACTGGGGATCAAACCCGCGGTGTTGGCATATCAAGACCATGCTCTAACCAAGCGAGCTACCCAACCGGGGTGAAGTTTTCTATTTTTATTTCAAACCAGAAGACAATGAGCCAGGGGAGGCCCTTTATCTCTGTCTGAAGCCAAGGTTTTCTTGACTAGTTCACATGCTTTGAGACTCATGCCTCTGGCACAGAAATATCAAGTAATAGGGAGCCTAGGCCTGGCTCTGCCACTCACTGGCTGTGTGACCTCAGCCAAGACACTTAACCTCTCTGTGCCTCAGTTTCTTCATTTGCAAAATAGTGCTTGTAATAATAGAAAGTACGTTTAGGGCTCCTGTGAGATCAATTCAGTAAAGTCTCAGGAAGAACCCAGGGCTTGGGGAGGCCCTTCCTCAGCAGATGACCACAGGAACGTCCCCCACCCCCCGACCTGGCATCTGGCCAACCAGGAAGGACGGCAGTGGGAAGGCCCTTTAGGGCTATCAGGTTGACGGTCACTGTGGTGGACATCAGTGAGGATGAAGGGTAGATGCTCCCTTTTTGGGGGGCATTCCCGTGCTGACCAACCCCGAGGAAGCATGTGGTGTAATCCCTATGGATTCTCTTTCCGATGACTCTGTGGGCCTCTCCTTAAGGTCCTGGCCTCATTTTCCATTTCCAAGTTCCTGGGCCACTTCCTCCAGGATAAATGTGCAGTGTGATACCTTGGTCCTATGCCATCAGTTCATTAGAAAGAACCCTGGCTTCAGAGCGAGGGTCTGTGCCCTGACTCTGCGTCCATTTTTCGGGGGGCTCTGGCTGGGTCATTCCCCACCTGGACCACTGCTAGCACATGACCCCATTTGCAGGGCCGGGGACACACACACAGAGGCGCAGGCCCTATGTCTGAAGCATTAGAAGATGCTCACTGCAAAACAAAAAGGCCTACAAAATTGGAGGGAGGTGCTTTTATCATCCCCACTGTGCAGAGGAGGAGACCTGGCTAACTGAAAGGTTGTAATCCCATCAAGACTCCCACGGATGGCGAGAGAAAGCAAAACCACAGAGAGGGGCGTGAAACGAAGGAGCGTTTTCCATATCCTGTCGCTCGCCTTCTTACCTCGTCCTTGGCAGCAGATACCAGTGTGACCAGCTCTGTACTGTGCACGCTCTTCTGCGTCTGCTCTCTGTGTGTGTCATTAATCTTGGAGCATCAGCAGAGAACTTCTTGCTCATTATCGACTCCAGCCTTCTTTCTGGGAGGGAATGCCCTGAAACCACCTGCATGCCCTGGTGGAGGCTGTGCTAACACGAATGGGAGAACTTCTCCGTGCTAAGGAGGGAGACATCCCTGCTCCCTTTTCTAGAGCATTTACTGTAGAAAACCCAGCACCCTCTAACCTGCAGTGCTAGTCTTCCAGTGCAAAACAACCTCCCCCATAAAGATACAAGTTTCTTTTCCCCGCTGTGGATAAGGACAGCTAACACAGAGCCACCCCAAACAGGTGAATTCAGGATGAACTGTGACAACTGGTGCTGCGTGGCCCTCCCACAGGTGTAATCAGTTGTATTTGCTTGTATAGAAAAGACAGGGTTCCTCCCCGCCTTTGCATGTCCTGGGGGGACTGCCTGTGATGTGCACCACAATCGGTTTAATGCCTAATCAGTAATGAAACTGTTTTCTTTCTCTTCTACTTTTGTGGAGAGGCTTTCTGGGTCAGTGGGGGCCTTTAACACGTTAAGCGCCACGCCTGTTTTGCCTTCCGTTCCGTTGAGCCCGTGGTATCCGATTTCACCGATCCGCTGGCGGCACCCGTGGCCAACCGGGTCCGGACGGAAAGTATGGTGTCCGTCATGGGTGACAGGCATGGCGTTTAACGTGTTAAAATAAAATGCTCTCTTCGTTGTCACTGCTGAGTCAAAGTGCAAGCTTCAAAGTAGTTCGTATTTTTTTCTGTAAAGACTCTGTATTTCCTTACATTGGCATGAGTTCTGGAAGAGTAAAGGAGGGACGAAGAAGAAGTGCTCGTGTGTGGTAAGGGGAACTGGGCGGATGGGGGAGGGAAGAGGGATGGGATTTTTTTTGCTGAGCACCGTTTTATATTTTCTGATTTTCGAAACATGTGACTATACTATCTATGAAAAATAAAAGGAAGGGGTGGTGGCAAGCCGACGAAAGAAACCACGAAGGAAAGAAATCCCAGATGCAGACATTCTCTAAGCATTTGATTCTGTTCGTTTCTGAGCTCAGTCTTGACCTTGAAGTCAACTGAACGCGAATTATATTGATACATTTTCAGGGTTCATGGTGGACTTTTTCTTGGAAGGCTGACCTTAGTGTAAAAGCAGGGAATGCCTTTATTTTAAAAAACACACAAAAAGTAAAATAAAAAAACAACAACAATCAGGTAAAACAACAGGTAACTAGCACGCGCCCCCCCATCCTCCTCCTCCCTCCAGGCGGCAGACCTGCTTCCCGGGGTCCTCGGGGTCCAGGGGTCAGCCTTGCTGAGCTGGGGGTGGGCACTTGGTGCCGCCCCTCCCCCATCACCTCTCTCTGCCTCTCAGGAAGTCATGGGTCAGGAGGGATGATGGGAAGGGGTGAGTGGGGTACAGTGTCCCTCCATACTGGGAATCAGGGACCCCTTCCCCGAGATTTCCCCATTAGCCGTGTCTTCCAGAAGCTCCTCTGAGGACAGTGGGGCAGGGACATGGGGCAGGGGTCATCTCTCAAGCCCTGGCCACTGTGGTCACTCTTCGCATTACTGTTGGGCGTCAGATCAGGAAGTGGCCCAGGCGGTTTTGCCACACACGGGTGTCTCCCTTTCAGCCCTCTGTCAGCTGTATGAGGTAGGTGCTATGTATTACAATCCCTGTTTTATGGATGAGGAAACATAGGCACACAAAAAGCAGGTGACTCCCCAAGGTCGCACAGCTGGTCAGAGCCCGCCTCCAGCTGGGTGCCCCAAGTCAGCTCCCTCCCAAGCGTGAGGGAAGGAGGCCCCGAGAGAGTGACTCAGAGCTGGGGAGGGCTGCACTCTGCATTTCCAGGCTCCCTGGGAGGCCTGTGGAATCAGCCACCTTAAGGAGGGGGGGTTGTGTTGATGGTTCAAGTCCTCAGGCTCTGCCTCAGAGACCCCTCCCCCCCCAACACTTTCCCAGTGACCTTGGGCCCTTGCCTTGGCTCCCTGGGCCCCAGTTTTCCGTGGGCCTAGGCCCTAGGCGGAGCACTGCAGGCTGCAGAAGTCCGCGGAGGAGAAGAAGCGCCACACGTTGACCAGCGGGAACATGAGCAGAGCTCCTAGCAGCGAGCCCAGCTGCACCGCCGCCCCACACCACAAGAGGGCGCTGCGGCTACGGTCGCGCAGGATCACGCCCAGCATCACCTTGACATAGCTCAGGCAGCCAATGAAAAGCACCCACGAGGCCACCTGCAGGGACAGGGTGGGAGAGCTGCAGAGTGCAGGGGGCTTTGGGGCGACCCCTAGCGGCCAAAGGTGTAGGATGACCTAATAGGGCTAAGGGAACCCCATGATTTGACCCCTCCCCAAGGGCAAAGGGGAGCCCAGTGGTTTTCCCTCCCTCACGCTCAAGTCAAGGGCCTGTGGGAGAAAGCCACTGCCGACAAAGACAGGGTGGGAAGAGTGTGGCTTTCCTAGGAGAGGCTGAGCCATTACCTTGGACCGCCCACCTTGGCTTCCCAAGTCTCCTTTCCCAAATG